CACAAATTTGCCAGCTATTTCGCCAGGTTTTCTGGACTTAATACAAATTTATGCCCTATATGTCAAATCGAAGATGGAAACGAACACTATATTTTCCATTGTCCGATACTTGAAAGGGAACAAAATGAAATTCAAACTATACTACACCAACAAGGCATATCTTGGCCATGTGATCTACCTATTCTCATTAATACAAAGGAGAACTTTTTCTATTTTAACAACTTAACCAAACGATATGGTAAACTTACCACCATTAGGGCATAATTCCTATTTACTCTGAAAGTTTAGTGTATCTATTAATTTGAATATTCTTTTACTATTTGTTAATGCAGTGTATTTTCTTCTAACTTTTATACAACTCTTGTTATGCTTTTAAATATTTATTTTTAAATTACAGGTGTTGAGGTATTCGAGATTTGTTATTTTACTACTCATTATATATTATTTAAACTTGTTAAATTCATAATCATGGTAATTATTAGTGATACTGTATGCATTATAGTTCCTTCCAATTCTTTTAGCATTCTACTGCTGATTTTGTTCCAAAGTATTGTTCCATGGTTTAAAGTAGGCCTTGAATTTGGTCTGTATTAGGTTCTCAATTGAATGGCTGGGATATGCACTACTTCCTCGTGACCTTTTACACCTGAATATGTATCTGTCTGGACTGGCCCTGTTCAGATAATTGTCTCATTATACAAGAATATAGATTTTACTCAAATACAATTAAAAGAAAACTGCCACAGAAGACATGCTTAGAAGAAGTGTTGTTAGTGAAACGGAATCTTTCTGGACTTCAAATTAAGTCCTTACTCCAATATGGATAATTATAGTGTGCAATTATGCAACTGAATTTGTGATGTACAAATTTAACTGCCAGAACTTTGTTGGCTAGTAGGCCATGTGATAAGGACATATGAATGCTTGCTTTTGGCGGTTGAATACTGTTGTCAACGCCCTTTGGACTTTATGCAAAATTGGGTTTTATAGGAACTATACTTTACAAAAATCTTAAATATATATTGTAAATTATTATAAAATACTTCAAAAATAATATGTGTAATTGTAATTTCAATTAATCAATGTTTTTATATGTTAATTGGCTATGCAAAGTGGTGCCAGACATGTAATACTTTGGCATTACGTGAATGAGAGTTGTGTGTGTGTGTGTGTGTGTGTGTGTGTGCCATGATGCTCATGTCTCTCCGCTACAACTTTCAAGAATTAACGTGATTAGTGAAGTGTAGTGACAGTGGGCCAATAGAGAGCACGGTGTGTGATTCTTGCCATAATGCAGTTTGTGTACGTGCGTTAATCAAACTGAATAGTTTGGCCAAATATTTGGTATTCGGCCTGAGGCTGAATGTACTATTCGTTGCATCACTAATATATATGCTTTTGCTTTTATCATGTAAACTTAGGATACCGTTAATTTTATTTTACATTTGGGCTGGAAAAGAGAAAAATACCAGGCACAATTTTTTTCAGTTTGCCCTCTAGCCCCCAATGATTTATTCATGGCTACAAAACTGGATATATCACATTTCCATGCTATGCTTTCATTCAGTAGCCAGAAAATTACTTTTTACACAGTTTTTAATTTTTAAACTTTATTAGCACCTTCATTTTCTTACAATAACTGAATACATAAGTGGATAAATATGTTATGTTACAAAATCAAAGTTTTCAGTGGATTAATGATCAAGTTTTTATTATGTAATTACTTCAGTGTAAATACAGCCAACAAACGCTGTGTTACAGAGATTATAAAGTGATCTACTTTCTGAGATCTTTGGTGGTGGTATGTGAGAAACTGATACATTACACCTTATCAATGCAAGATGACCAGGATTTGAATTATTTTAATACACCTTCTTTGTTCACTTAAGTCATCAATTCTTTCTAGATCAGGCCTTTATGAATTTCAGTGAAGTGTTGGCTTGCCTTGTTGTAGGGTTTAAATGTGACTGTGTGGCTATTTTGTTGAATTTTTCAATTTTCATTTTTCACAACTCATTGTAATTCCAAACTGACACTGTGTCAATGAGCATTGGGTATTTGATTATTTGTGTTTGCTGATGATGGAAAAAAAATTGATGCTTAAATTAAATGGGAGTAAATAAACATAACATGAAAGAATCTAAATATATTCACAAAATAATTTCTATCTGTGAATATATATAAAACAAATGATTTTCAGTTTCTGTGTGTCATGTTTGTTTTTCTGAATACTTTCATCTTCTAGTAAGCAGATTCATTCACAATCCTAAGAATTTTTGGAACTTTCAAGATTTTCGACCATCAGCTACAAAAACGAAATATCCTTTATGCTAATTCTGCGTACAATCTTTGTAATGAAATAAAAAATTTTTTACTCTCCAATCTCTTTATTTAAAAGTTCTTTTTGTTTTCTCTTTTTTTCATTAAGTTTGTTCTATTACTGCCAAATTCTTCTAATAATCCAGATTTCGTTCCCATTATCATTTATTCTAATCAATCTGACTTTTTAAACAAGAAGTATTTCAATTTTTTTTAGTTAACAGAATTATGTATGCTTAAAGGATAACTGACTCCAATAGAGTCTCTGGAATTATATGTTTTTCAATTCCAGGCTAACATTCAAAATCATATAGACAAGATCACTAAACATATTGCAATTAGATATGGTGTTCTATGGCAATACAGCAAATCCGTTTTGAAGGACTTTGTTTTATGAATTTTCAGTCATTAATTGATTATTGTATTTTCATTTAGTCTTTGACTGTCAAAACTCTGATGAATAAAGTTAAGGTATTTGGTAAGCTGTATTTATTGTTTAATTATAATATTATGATTGTGCCTTAATTTTCCTTCTGTATGTAATAGGATAACAGATTTTAAACTTTTTTAATGGTCTTTTATCTCTAGATTTTGTTGTTGTTTATGTTAATTAATATTACACTCTCAATTCTACTTGAGTTAATCTTTTTAAAATATTTCAATGATGTGGGAAACTTCTATTTAAAAAACAAATAAGTTTTCATAGTTGAAAAATTTCTTTAATGGAATGGTTTTTTTAATTGAATGGTTTTAACTATGAAAACTTGTTTGTTTCATTTTGAATGTTTCTCCAAACATTCAAAATTCATTTTTCTTTAATTGGATGGTTTTAACATGGATTACATGGTTAAAATTATCCAAGAAAACTTGTTTGTTTTTTAAATGGAAGATTCCCACTTTATTGAAATGTTTTCAATAAATAAATTCAAGTATAATTGTGAGTAATATTAATTAATTATAATCAAAAAGATCACTGCAACAAAAATTAGGATTTATAATTTATCTTGTTTATGTCTTCTTAATTTTAGGGTGAATATCTCACCATTGTTCTTTCTTTTATTATAGAGTTACATATTACAAAATTATTTAAAGTAAGAAATACATTTAGATTGCATTTAACTAAGTTTTAATTTGGTTTTCTTGTGATTTTTATGGGTGGTGTGCTTTTGTTTTGTTGAGAGTAGTTATCACATGTTGCAAGAACTTCACAAATTGTCATACTTATTTACATTATAATTAGGAAACTATTCAAAAGCAATATATTGTATCCAAGATTATAACAATAAATAATTTCATTTCTTGAACATATTTTTATGAAGTTTAGTTCATTTAGATATAAAAATAAGAATTAATTTTGCTTTCAAGATATGGTAAATTCTTTGTAGACTTTTTAGTAAAAAGAATATCAATAAGGTATTTATTTATTTTTATACATTTCTGCTTTCACATGTTTATGTCAAATTCAGAGAATCTAATTTTAAAGCTATCCCATAACATTGGTTTCTGATGATTTTAAAATGTGAAACATGCAAAATTTTACACATTAAACTTTCTTTTATTCAATAACTAGCAGATAATCTTCGCCCAAGCAATGCCGGTCTTAAGATTATTACATTACAGCCAATCTTACCCGTTTTCACAGAATGCAAGAATTAGGTTTCCCTGTTTCCAGACTAATTTGAAAATTTTTAAATTGAACATAATTTTAGACCCATCTAACACAAAAAACCACATCTGCGCCTGTAAATATTGCACATTGCTTTCTCTTAACACTTCCATTGTTGAAGCCTTAATCCTGTCCCTTTCCCTGCGGGGGGATTTCAAAAAAATCCCTTGTTAGTGTGCGTTCTCGTGATGTACCCTAACTGTGCTGAAATGCTCGTATACACGTGTGCCATCTATCATAGGATAAATGTACTATGCCAGAAACCTTCACGGGAGTATAGTAAACAACTTCCCAAAGTTTCATGGCAATCGGATAAATGGTGTAGTAATGCATGAAGGACAGACAGATACACATCACATGTCAGGTTGCCTCATTTAATTAACCTGATTTTAAATCTATGTATAATACAAAGGATAGCTTTTATTCTGTATCTATAATTATGAAAGATATCATCAGATTTTTTCAGGAGCTATATATCATTCTGTAAACCAGATCATATTATTATCCAAGGCTTGGGAGTTTGTCAAACTGTTATGACTTTGTAAGGAGGAAAGTTTATATTTATCATATAATTAAAATTATATCTGTAGATTAATTTGCATAGAAAACCGAAGAGAATCAATGCAAAGACAGTCCATAGGCAAAATATCACAAATAGGCCTAATCTGCAATGGTAATAGAAATAAAATGAACAATGATTGGTTGTTTGCATCTTGTTGAATGACCAATCACAAGGATTTAAATTCTTTCATGACAATCTTTGCTGTGTTCATTTTTCTGTTTTCTTGAAGTTACTTTAATTCATTTACATTACTAAGAAATTAAATGCTGTTAATCAAATTTTTTATCAACTCTCTATCCTGAGGGGCACAAGGAAATCTTGTGAGAAATAGTCATATATCAAGGACAAACTGTCTGTCCAGGATATCATCTCAGGCTCCCAGAATGATAGGCTGATGCCTTATCTGTTTTGGCCATCTGGCCAACTATTAAACAATTAAGAAATATTACTTACGAATAACCGTGATTTCTTGGATAGCCACCAATAAATATGTCATCAGTGGTAGACAAATCTATAGAAGGCCCTGGAGATTTTCCACTGTCTACCTCAACACCTTGTATCTAATAAAGGAAAAATAATTGAATTTTTAGATGCTATTTTGATATCATATAAACTGTTTATATATTTGAGAAAAATTGATTTAACTGTCCTTAGAGTATTATAATATTTGATTTCAAATTTTAAAAAGTCTGTTGAAAAATAACGGCATTACTACTAATAATAAAGAATAGTCAATGAATTGATGGAGAAAAGCAACCAGGAAAAAATATAGAAAGTTTCATAAGTATGTCAAATAAACTAAGAATTAAACTATACATTATAAATAATTCTATAGAAGAAAATATAAAGATGAGTTCTCTTATCTCATTATACAGTGGTACCTCAGGTTACGAACGCCCCAGCATACGAAATTTTCAGGATACGACATGAAATTCGAACATATTTTTGCTCCACGATACGAACAAAAACTCACCATACGACGTTACATTAGTTCGCATTTTTCATTTGTTTTTCTTACTACAGTTATTTTTTTTAATATATTACTTGGCTTTAATTTGAGTATGTTTTTCGCGTTGGAACGAATTATTTCGTTTTACATGTAATCGTATGGGAAAAGATGATCCACCTTACGACATTTTCATGATACGATCTCAGTTTCGGAACGGATTAATTTCGTATCCTGAGGTACCACTGTATATAAAACTTGATTCAATTTGTTGACAGGTAGTGACTTGTTGCTTGGGTAAAATTGAGACAATTATATATCTTACAAAGAGATTTTTTGGCATAGTTCTGTATGGCAGAATCATTTGAACTATCCACAATAAATTAGATCCACATCTGAATATGTCACAATGATATACATTACCACTTTATTTAGCTAATCACACACAGAAATCATAGAATAATGTTTTCATATGTTAATTCACAATAAATGAAAATGATATTTTTATGGTGAGCAAGTCTCATAAGAATGAATTATGAAGAAAAAATACTTATCTCTCCTAAACTTATACACACTTTTTACTAAATTTTATGATATTTTCTGATGAAGTTCATGTTAAAGACCGAAAAAAAAGAAGACTGAATTTAAAATATGCTATAATCCAAAGATTATAACATCTTTTAAATTCAGTCTTCTTTTTTCCAGTTTTTAAAACATCAAGGAACTTTTCATTATTAGGAGTGAAATAATTTTAAATAAAAGCCAATATCACTCAAGTTTTTGCTATATTCCAGTCTTGTACATGCAAAGAATGATGACAAAAGGAAAATTATATTTTTTAAAATTTATTTGTTGTTAATAAATTAGATAAAAACTTAGAGAATGTAAATTTACTTAATCTTTTATGGTCTTAGTACAATAACAATGTTATATTTGGTAAATATAATTCACTTATTTATATGCATGAATAACTTAATCATATTTTCAATATTTTTGAGTTAAATAGTCAAAGTTTTGAAGCAGTATTATTTTAAAATATTGAGTATTAGGATATTTATTGTTTAAAAAAAATACTTTAATTATAATATTCTACTTTTTTACTTTCATTTATCACTTCTTAAAATGCTAATAATTCTTATAACATACAAGTAGAAAGTTTGTTTACATTAAAATAAATTTAACAAAACAGACCTTTAATATAGCTTCTCCTTCATATCTCGAGACTCCCAACACGTGCCAGTTTCCATCGTTTACGGTCACATTAGAAATTAAAGTGACCAGTCCGTCTCCCAGATTGTATTTGAGCAATACTTTTCCTTGTCTTAATTCCATGGCCAAGAAATTTCTCTGCAATTAGTTCATTTAGAAAATAATTTTTAATGAACTCTTTAAATACAATGTAGAATATATTTGTTCTTAAACATGTAAAGTTTTTGGTAACTTTAATTTGATTTCAATTCACAAAAATATCAATTTTTAAAATAAAAATTATTATCATAGTTTTACATAAAAACATAACAGTACCAACATTAATGCTAATTATATAGGAAAATATTTGTATTTTAAATCTAATATATAAATACTGTGATTTAATGTATCAATAGATAACCTGAACAAAAATCAATTAGAAAGTGGATATGGATAACACAATGATACAAATTATCTGCCAATTTTAACTCACAATTACAAATGTGTCTGCTAGCTTTTTCCTTTATTCTTTACTGTTCTTCTTGTGTGTGTCAACCCATGTTTTAATTGATATTATTAGACCCTCCTACTTGAACTTCTTTATTGGAAACTAATCAGTTGTTAAGAATCTCTCACTAGCTTCTGAGTGTTGTTATATGGATAATCAGTTGATGTCATGAACAAAAAAAGTTAAATAGAAAAAGATTTATGAGTTTATTTTAGTATTTACTGTTAATTTTATAGTTTATCACTTTTTGAAAAGTTTGTCTTTTCTTCAGTCATTTTTAATAAGCAGTCAGTTAGTCTGTCTTCTTGATTAAGAATGTGACTCAATAATTGTATGCTATGAACTCTTCCTCTCTTTATTGCTATGAAATGAGTTTTGAAGACTAAAATTTTTGAAAATATTGGGTTGTTCGGAAAGTTCGTAGCGATTTTTGATAGCCGACAGTTGAGACACTGATTGATGTGAAAATGATTAGAATTGTACTGTACAAACCAATGAATATTACGATAAATGACCTTAAGATGCGTCAGTTACCAAAAAAAACCATTAAGATTATTCAAATATCATTTAATTTGTCTCATTGCAAAAATGGATACAAACAATGTGCATTATTGACACTTGTTTTTTTTTTTTATCGTAAAGGAAAAAATGCTGTACAAACAGCAAAAAAGATATGTGATGTTTATGGTGGGAGTGCTGTAGGAGAATCAACTGTTCGAAAGTGGTTTGCAAAATTTAAAGCGGGTAATTTCAGCCTTGAAGATGCTCCCCGCTCAGGAAGACCTCTTGTTATTGAAGAGGACCAGATCAAAGCATTATTGGATGAAAACACTCATTATACAACTCGAGAAATTGCAGACATAGTGAAGTCATCAAACAGTACAGTATTTCAACATCTAAAGAAGTTCGTTATGACGATTCACATATCCAAGTCTTTACGAACACGCCAAAAATTATTGGAACTAGGCTGGGATGTTTTACCTCACCCCATTGGACTACTATTTGTTCTGTTCTCTGCAAAATTCCCTTCATGATAAAAACTTTGACACTTTGGAAGCTTGCAAAAACCACATGGATCAGTTTTTCGTGGGAAAACTGGAAAGTTCTACGAAGAGATTATCATGAAGCTCCCCTTAATTTCAACATGTCATTAAAAACAATGGCACATATGTAATGGAATAAAAGTATATTTTTAGTTTTAAAACAATTTCTTTTATTTCTCTTAAAAATTGCTATGAACTTTCCAAACAAGCCAATAGTTATATATGTTTAAAACAGCAGCCCTAACTTCACTATGCAATGCTTTATCTTGTTTATGCATAATAGCATTGCTCTCCATCACTTGACCAATTAAATAGAAAGATGACATCATTACCATTTTGCTTTATTTTCTTTGTTTTATTTTTAACATTTTAGAATAATTTTTGAGTTAAAACAAATAGTAATAATAAATCTTTATGTAACATTTTCTGAATAGTAATTGGGTTCATCAACAGAAATTTAGCATCCTATTTAATGAGCTGACTATTACAGTCTGTCAATTCTTTATCATTCATTGAATATGTTAGTTTTACTACAGCAAATAAGAGTTGGGTGACTGACTCTTGAACTTCTTCTGTTGGATATGCTAGACTCACAGTGATCAAACTGTGGCTTGTGAACTGCATGGAACTCTTCTAGATCTTACTATGGTTCCCTTTATATTTAAATATTTGGGAATACAATTCCAGAAACAGGATAGCAGCATTCTCTACTGATAAGTGATATGTGGTTCCCGTCACGACAAGTTTTTGCCAGCCTTCTTGGACATTAAAATTATTAATTCTTTGAGTTTGTTTTTGCATTCATAAAATATATAATATCAGCATTATTATTTGATAAAAAACAAAGCAATATGATAAAACAGTTTTGCCATTTGGTGGCCATTTTGCATTCTTGACACTTACAAAGTTTAGGAGTTTGTGTCAATATTCCAGTTAAAAATAACTGGAATATTGAATGGCTTCTTAGTGTTCTATTTCTGTTAAACTTTTTTACATTAAATTGCATTCTAGTACATAACATACTTTCACCAGACATTCCAGAGGCATGAGGAATATATAATACTTTAGCTTATCCACATAAAATTACAGTACTATGAGCTTTTTCTAAAGTATTAATGAATTCTGGCAGCTCAACCTTAGCACCTTTTAGTGCTAACTCTTAGATTAATAATTTCAATTTATTTTAAATTGATAATCTAAATTTATTTGTATGTTTCTTTTATCTTAATTATATAAGCATATCAAACAGTGGCAAAAAAAAGGTGGTTATTTCTGTAGAATTAACCCATGCAGTTTTCATCAATTTTTTTGAGGAAATATTTTTGAAAAATTGATTTTAAAAGGAATAAGCATATCAATTGTAAATGGCTTTCCAGGATAATGATCTTATAATTCAAATATTTTTAAGAATTAAGTATTGATAAAAGAATTTAATTTATGAAGAATTCAGGGTTCCTATCCATTTTGCAATTTAAATTTTCTGACATTCTCATGTTTTCAAGATAAAAATCTCAAAATTTCCATGAGAAAAACAAGTTCAACAAGGCCAAAATCACTTGTATTTTTAATTTTGATCACTTTTTGGAAAAAAAGGTGTAGTCTGGCATGAAAACAAAGTGTAACAAAACATTTTTCTGGCTTCATGGCCCACTATAGCAGAAACCTTAGTTAGAAAGACAAAATCAGTTTATATTTTGGCTTCTAACCATTGTAAAATGATCAACAAAGATTTATTTTAAAGAGAATCATTCATAGATCATAATAGAATTGCAAAGAAATCTGTTATAAAAATTTTACAAACTTGAAATTTTATCCTTAAAATTTGCCTATTTTTCTTTATATTTTTTAAAGGTTCTTAAAAGAATAACAACAAGATAAAAAATTTAGTTTGCAATGTTTATTATACATCCACTAGACATTTTTGTTTGTAAAAATGATTATTAATAACTGATTAGCATATTTAACTCCTCCTTAATGCCTGAGCATGTCCTTAGATTTGGTACTGTTGATTGGATGTAGAATGACTCATAAAAATCACTAGCAAATGAACATTACAAGCACAACAACAATCATTGTGACTGCTAATGTATTTTACTTACTCACAGGAAGCTGAAATTTTTTGATTTTTCCTGAATTTGAATGTTTTTCATTACCATAAAGTTTTATTCTTACAAATGCAAAAAGCAATCACTTTTGACTACTGATTTATTTCATTGTTTTATTACCTTTTACCTTTTCTTATTTTTCACTTCTGCTTCATGTGTGTATTTATGATTTGTGAATACTAACACTCCTATGTGAATGTTGCTGCTAATCTTTTGCATTTTCTGTGTCTTTTGTTAGAACAACTTTTTGCTTCAGTTTTGTTAGAAATATTCATGTAGCATGTATGCAAAAATGATATATTTGATTATCATCTGCTGACTGGAGATGAAATTGCAAATATATTAGCAAATTTTTCAGAAAGTGACCATACAGATGACATTCTTATTCATTATCATTAGCCAATAGATTATGTCCCATCCAACGAAATGGATGCTAATCAGGATAACGATGAGAGTGATACTGTTCATCATCACTGATTTCAACTAATTAATCTCTCACAAACAAACCACTATCAACCTCTCTACAAAGACACTCAAAATATATAGTATCTTATATATGCTTATTCTTACTGGTATAATAGATATACAAGAAATATTTTATAACAAATCTACAGAATAATAATATAGCTATCATTGCTTGCTTTTTTTCACACAAAAAAGAAACTATTTTTATATATGAACAGATACTGTTTGTGATAGGCAACAATGAGGTAATTTTTACAGAGTAGATGTCAGTGTTTAATTTATTATATGAAGTATATGTAGTTCCCCAATTTGAGAGAACAACCCCTAACCTATGAAACTTTCCCTTAAAACGATGTAATGTTCTAGAATATTGATTTTATTTTTTGAGAACAGTGATATATTTTTATGATTTGAAATTATTATTTTATACAACTAATTTTAAATTCATAGTTCTAGTGTTAAATTAGTGTGTATTTATTCCTGTAAAATGAAAATACTCTGACTTTTCCATGTTTTCCCTGATTTCTAGACTGATATGAACCCTGGAATTCTTTATATTTGTAAAGAATTCTTCATTTAAAAGTCAGTATCTTTTCTCAAACAATTATGACTAACGATGTACAAGACAAATCACAAGCTACATGTAAATTGTTAAACAACAGTTTAAGACACTTACATTTTTGCCAATTAAAAACAAAAGCCCTTCGCTAGCATATGTTTTAATTTCCATGCTGAAGTCTGTGGTTCTTTTAAAGTTATGCCGTCTAATCGGTAAGATTGCATAACCTGTTCCGTCAAATCTCAGACCGTTACTTGGCTGAAGAGTAACAAATGCATCTCTCTCGATGCAACCTTCGAAATTATTTTCTGCTTTAACAAAATTCCACAGACCAACTGGAGTTTTACCAAATTCTAATTCTTCTATACAGCCAATAAAATGTCGTGATAACACTTCTGCTTGAATCTGTAATTTATATATATGGTTAAAATTAGAAAAATGAGAATGTTGACACTGCTAGGATTTCTTCTTTAAATCTC